ACAGTACATACACATCTCTACACATGGAGGCACACATATACAGAGGAAACATAATAATAAAAAGCAGCAGCACAAACGAGAATGTGGACGGAGGGTTCATAGCACATTTTTATAACAAATTATCAACTCCGGTGTCCTTTCTTGACCCCTATATTTTAATATGACACATATTATGTCCCGATTCCAGAGCATATTCATGATTAATATATCCACTATTACATTAAGGTATATGACGTTACAAGCTGTATAATTGTATGTAACAACCATCATTTCAAATAAGTAATATTTGATCAGTCAGTGCAGATTATGACCTACATGTCCCTCCCAAGAAATGGAAGGAAGACGAAAAGAAAGAAATAAAAGACATGTTTACCCTTTTAATGGCTTATAAAAGAACTTATTTTCTGCACTGTTTGTATTTACAACATCTGCACAGCACATGATGGGTACATTTTCCAACTGATGATTGAATTTCCTGATTTGGTAGAGCTTTATTATCCAAATAACCTTCCTCCCGGAAAGTGTTGTGTAATTGATGATGGGGGGAAAATAGACACAAAGTTCTGGGACAGTGATTTGAGTTGAGTTAGTTGAGTCATGTTTGGAATTTCCTTGATATAACTAAGTAAATATTCATTTATTATTCTGTTATTTTGTTATTTTGAAGGCCGTCTGTAGAATTGGAAAATTAGCTGTAGCTACAAATGCTGTGATACACTGCAGAAAGACTCGCTGCTGCCGACCTCCCCTCCGTTTAGGACTTGTAGTCAGGAATCGGGCAGGGAACATCACTGCAGACCCATCACACCCTGGAGACAACATGTTCCAGCTTCTCTCCTCTGGGGGGCGCTACAGAGGAGTTTACACCAAAACAACCAAGAATAGTTTCCTCCCACAGGCCGGTACTCTGATCAACAGTCAGTCACAGTATCACCAAAACATCCACGTACTTACAAATGATATATTTACAGCTTTAAATACACCACTTTTAACATGCACATCCATCACTCATACACAAACCCTGGATGCTGTATCTACTCATATCTGAATGTACCGTATATTACCATCTACTTCATGTACATCCATTCAATATTCCCTCTGCACTACTTCTATTGTTGTTTCTATTGTTACAACTGGAGTCAGACTCTTTATATGTGTACATATATTTGGCCAATAAAGCTGATCTCACTGATTATCAATGATTTGAATAATCAGCAAGCTAATTCAACATGTTTTTAGTGTTCCAAAAAAATAATCCTTGATCAATGAACCATTGTTGCCATTATCCCATCCATTCCTGTCAATAATGAGACACAGATTCAGTTCAGTACCTGCAATGTTTGTATTGTAACACATGAGGGCAGTGTTTACAAAAAGTAGAAACTGTTTTGCTTCAGTTATGAGCTGACACCCTGATTTAGATCACCTTCTAATATGTTTCCATGGATGTTCGGCTCAAATTACAGACCCATTCTGACCACGAGAAAGTCTCAAAGTTTAATTGTACTTCAGACACAAGACTCATAATATTAACATTTTGTCCGTTAATTGCCTGATAATAGTTTTGCCTTGTTTTATACTCTTAAAAACAAAAAAATGATCACTGCTATTTACATGTATTACTTATTGTCTGTAATATTACAATACAATATACTTCACAAAGTCTGTTACGAACTAAAACTAAAGAGTTTGATGAGGCATATAAAAAAAATATGCTATTGAGTTGCATTGTGGGAATTGTAGGATTCAGAGTTTATGATATTGGCCCACAAGGACTGAAGCTGTTGCCACATTACATTTCCATCCTACTAACATTTGCTGCTTTCCCATTCACTTCAATTGAAGCTTACCCAACACACAAAAATCCAAGCGTGTTTCCTGTTTCTGTGCGAACTCCAGCTGCTCCTGTTCACTCGCTGGTCAGAGTTCACCTTTGAGCAGATGTGTTCAGTTGGACAATAGAAACACTGTTTTGAATGAAGACAGTAGCACTGACTGCAGTTCATTTCCCCCCCCCCCCCTCAATTGAGACATTTTACACAGCTCTTTTTTTCTGTTTTAGTCTCTCAGTCAACAGCTGTGAAGGACTTCATGTTTAAAGCTCCCTCCGTAAAATCAACTACTGCCATTAAGAACATCAGCATTTAGTTCACTTCTGCAAAGAAAAGTAAATGTAAAGTTTTGAATGTCATGTAAAGTATCCATTAAATATGTCATTTAGTAAGGTGTCATCAGTTTACTAAATTACATAAAAGTAAACAATTGGTTTAATTTTGTCTTTGTCAAATGTTTTGTGTATACAGTAGTTTTGTCTAGATGGACTGCATTTATAGCGCCTTTCCAGTCTTCTGACCACCCAGTGCTGCATTCACACATTCATACACTGATGGCAAAGGCTCATCAGAACAGTAACCAATTCATTTACACACTGATGCACAACATTGGGAGCAATTTGAGATTCAGCATTTTGCTCA